ATTCTGCTTGTGTTTCATCCAAATAAAATTTCGTTTTTTGCCAGCACTTGTCTGTCTCCTCCACTTTTGTTTGCTTGAGTGCGCTGTAAGCCATTATGTATCGGTTCGCCTGGTTGCATATTTCAACTTTCATGCAAGCGCGTGCACCTTTGCTTTTTTTTTATTTAACCTCTCTAAGTAATGTGTCTGCATGCGTTGTTTTTTATTGTATATTCTATGTACCACTTTGGAAGATAAACTGTTCGTTGGAGGTGAGCACTGTGCCCGCGTTTCTTTTCGTCCTTGTTCTTTTGCTGGGCTAAAGAGTGCAATGATAAGCTTAAACAATAAGATCATATCTTTCGCCACCGAAGCTGTATAACACTACACGGCAACGGTTCCGTCTCCGTGGACTAAAAAACAAAGCACCAATCCCCTAAACCCCCAACATATTATTAGCTTTCATGCAAGTTATCAAGTAAGCAAACTTAAAATACAGATTCATGAAGCAAAGTTGCCTCTGTGCTCTACTTTACGAAAGGCAAGATACGTTCGCACTCACGTGTTCCTCTGCTAGCAGATGTGCGCGCTCGTTCTATTTCTGCTAAGTTGCTGTGGAAGTGCAATCGTAAAAAAGCACATACGAGCTGACAAAAGCGTTCGTTGTAGACTCGTGTATGATTGCAATGCCTGAACCTAATGTTTTACGTCCTGCGTGGTTTAGGAGCTCCTTAAGAGTTCCTGGCAAATGGTATATCTTTTTTGCAATCAGATAGACAGCATAGAGCTCAGCATTCGTTTCAATGAGTAAAACCACCAAACAAGCATCAACGTCACACGCTGGGCGATAAAGCACCTGTGAACTATGGGAACACCCTCCCACGTTTTTTCAGTAAACATAACGTTGTAGCTGCTTTGCACTTCTCACAAGGTTGTGAAATGACGCCCGACCGCCTTTCCTTGTCCTTGCATGTGCTTCTTGTTTCCAGATATGACAGGGGGACCTGTCTAGCCACTCGTTAGTTCATTCCAAGTCTGTCATTGGTAGACCACGGAAAGTAAACACGCCAAAGAAACACAGCTTGAATACAATGCTCGACCAAACGAACAAATGCATAATGTTCAACATGGTCGCGGGATCAGTGATGGTCTAGCAAAGCGACCGAAAAGCGATAGTCGCTGCCATTACTCTAATGTAATAATAAAACATGCCACCAAACCTCTCATCACCACGTGTTGTGTTTCACGCAGACTTCTTGGACACTCACTAATTTTCTGAGTGGGATGACATCAAGCTTTCACAATATTTATTATGTACACTCATGAATATTTACAAATAATTGATTTATACTATCTAATTAGACAAATATTTATTCTGACAACAAAGACACTGCAGAACATATAACTGCTCGTGAGCAGGGGTAAAAAGACGATGCCGTTGCGCTAAAATACACATAAACATGCGGAAGAATATGTTGATGACTCTCAGCGGCTGTGATGCGCCCAAATGCCACTAATCATGAGCAGCATCGCATCTGGCTGTCTAGAAGGTTATCAAGCACCCGATGCTCAGGAAAGCAAGTTGTTCCCGAAGAGAAAATGAAGCCCTCATTGTGTACGCAGCTGCACCGCTCCCATAAAACCGAATCTCGCGCCGAAATAATACAAAAGTCAGTAAATTCGCTCTTTCCCTCTAAGACGACTGAGAAAGGAGGTTATGTCACAAGCGATGCAGCTGTCTACACAGCATTCCGTGAGTGCAGCGTCAAAGGCGCGTAGTTCCAGACTGAAAAGCATCATGCGAGTATGGCGTGGTCTGGAGCTGGCCTTTTGTTACCTCTTGCTGAAAAGCGGCGTCAAGGGTGTTGTCCCTGTAGTATAGGGACAAGAAATTATCCTTCATCTAGAGGGCGGCTGCACCTACCGCTCATTAATTCCCAAGCATATCTGACATGTAACTCTGGCTTCGAGACAGACCCATAAGTCACTCGTGGTGCGAAATGCCCAATTACAGCCTTCTTCGCGGGATCTACGCATCGAAAAAAGGCAAGCCTGATGCAATTCTTGACAAATGGTCGCGAACTACTGCCCATTCGCTGTGCAGTTTATTGAAAGAGGTATAGCGAACTTGTTTGTCCTGTGCTAAGGCCAATTTATTCCTGCTTTGCACAGTCCCAACAAAATTATTTGATGTTTTTGTAGTGGACTCAACTTCATTTAAATGATGCTTATTATCGAAATAACTAACGTGATACTAACAGTTTTATTTGCAGAACATAAATTACTGCACGAGCACCAACTCGAAGAAATTTAGAGAAGGTGGGGAGCGGGATTTTATGTATCTTGCACAAAATGTGTTAGGCAGCTCTCATATACTATGGTCTTCAATTCTCTCAGTTCTGTTTTGTTACCGCTAATTTTGAACATGGAGCACCAGAACGCGTAAGTTCTGCCACCTGATGTCTAGAGTTGGTGTTTGTGAAGCTTGAATATGAAGGGTTATCACGGCTCGTCTGTGAACAAGGACAAAAGTATTAGCGGCAGTAGTGCTGCAAAAACCTATGTAAACTTCGACAAGGCACCGCCGGCTAATTTTATGCAACTTTTAGATGTTCTGGCACGTGCGGTCGCTTTTAAAGTGACAAGCTCCGCAAATTCTTGCATTGGCTTTCTACGGGATTCGATGGCTTAATTTACCGTTTGTACTGTTTTATCGGGGGCAACTATCATGTTGGCGATACTTTGGCGTTGACCTATTTGTTCTATGCAGTTTCAGCGAAGTATACTTTGTTCAACCACGAGCTTCGCAGCCACATTTTTATAATAAAAAAAGCACGAGTACAGTCAAATTTTTACACAGTTTCTTCACCACGAAACGTCAGTACCTGATGAGTGCCTGCCTGAGGAACTGGTTGTGTGTACAACTGTGTCAGCTACATAATTTCAGACCCCATCTCTAAAGCACTCTTTCTAAGCGTGTTAAAAGAATATCGTGTCACTTCAAGCGCCTAAAAAATCATTGCGACAAAAATGTCACATTACTTTAATTTATACGTCTTATAGTACGTAAACGTAATAAACACTTATATTTAACCATTTAGGCTCTGTTTTCACATAAAGAGAATGATTCACTAGTTTGAAAGATATATAGTGCAAATTTGTTTCTGGGTAAGAGGACTTTGAGCAAAGAAAACGCCGCGTGCATGTTCCCACAGGGGAAGCTCGAGTAAACGCGTCACAGAGTGGTCGGGGGTGAATGTGCGTAATTTATTATGGTTTGGGAAGGCCTACTTGTTATTTTGTCTTTATTATTCCTATTTATTGAATGAAGGAGAAGTGTTACCTTCAGCGTCAAGCGAAAGGAGAATGAAGACGCCCTTAGCTGAATTCAAGAAGAATTTAAAAAAAATTGTTGGAGTGGAAGCTCCTGCAATGCCTTGCCAGCAGAAGTGAAGCCAGCTTTTGCCACTGCCAAAATGTCAGAAACTTGTTTTTTTTTTCCTCGAATTCCAGCTGCGGCGGCTGCATTTTCGATGGTGGCGGAAATGTTGTAGGCCCGTGTGCTCAAATTTGGGTGCACGTTAAAGAGCCCCAGGTGGTCGAAATTCCTGGAGCCCTTCACTACGGCGTTTCTCATAAACATATGGTGGTTTAGGGACGTTAAACCCCACAAATAAATAATAATAGTTTTTGCTTTTTAAACCTCCTTGGCTGAATTTTGAACACGTGATCAAGTGCGTACATATTCGTGGTGCCCAGTGAACGTTTGTGCAGCGCAAGCATTACTTTTTTTTTTTACTAGCAGACGCTGCCTGCGTTGGCCTTGCGAGGCGAAAAGAAGAGGAAGGGAGCGGTAGTTTTGCGGGTGTCTTCATCGGCCGGCACGAGACGCGAGCATGTTCAGTCGGGGTAAGGACGACACCACCGCCTACGCCGAAGCGTCACATTGCGCGACGATGAAATGCTCCACATTTTAAAACAAAACAGTGGACAACATTTGGTACATGGCGGCTCAAAAGTTTGATGTTTGAAGCGTTGGTAAGTGCTGTCCAAAATATTTACAAATAAAATATAACAGTAAATCAATTAAAGTACAGTAATCTAGGCATATGTGATCGATGGTAACAGCTGGACAATAGTGAGCATCAGTGTCTATTATAGAATGTAAAATGAGTCATGCAGGCACCACCGACTACACCTGCTCCGTCCATCGGACTTCGATGCTGGATGCTTGTGGTTACTGGTACCTTTTTGCTTTGTGCGTGGGTAGTTTTTGCCCGCCACAAACATTTTCAGTGATACTGCTGCTTTCCGGCTTGTTCTTTTGTCATGGTTGGTTTCTTTAACGTCATTCAAACGCGATACCTATCACGGCAGTATTGCGCTAATGTAAGGGCAGCTTTTAGGTGCGGATCACTTCAGTGGGCGAGACTGTCATATACTGGGTTCATATGCTGTCATAATCGCTCTGTGTAAGCCAGGCACACGCGCATATAGCACAGCCATCTGGATTGGTTCGTTGACTCTTCTTAACCTGGCGCAACCCACCGTGGGGTATCGGCCATGAAACTAGCTGTGCTCTGTTATACAAAGAATTTGTCTATAAGCTCAAATTTGCTAGCGCGGGCTCGCGCCAAAGAAAAATCTTCTTCCTGGTGTTCGTCCAGCACTTTGATCGTGGTATTAGGTGTGGAACACATTAAAGTCGCGTTACGCAAGGAATACCACGGATAAAAAAACTGAAAAAGTGGAAGTAAGGAAAAAAATAGAATTAGCAAGAAAAAGAAAAACTAGGAGGAAAATTATATTTTAATAGAGCACAAGGTAACAACGAAAGAGAGGAAGAAAGAAAGAGAAAACTGGAGACGAACGAATAAGGCTGCCCATTTCAGCACTTTCTTTAGGATTGGCACAAATACTGCGAAGTGGCGTTAATCTTTTTGCCCAAGAATATTCAAGAACACGGGAGATGTCACACTCAGCTCTTTTGCATTCTGTATTCATTTTATTCCAGACATGGACAATGCCTGGTGCATGCCATTGCTCGCCTCCATTGCCACTTTCCTCTTGACAATGCCATTCACCTGCTTCGGCCTACTCTTCGTTCTCATTATGGAGAAGTTCGGCTCCACCCGGGAACAGGCATCTTGGGTTGAAAGCGCTTTCATTATGAGCAGCAACTTATCAGGTAAAGAAGGAGTTTCCACGTTTAAGAAGCTGCATATTTCAGCACAGCAGCAGCAGTAGTGTAAGAGGTTGTTGGCGTACATTCTAGAAAGTTTCTAAATGACGACGTCTGCTTGCTATGCCATCGATAAACACGCTATACAGTTACATGAATTAAAATAAATATTGTCAGATAGGTTGAAATCAACAATAAAATTAGCCCTCTTAGCAAGAGTGGTTTAAACTGTAACGAATCAAACAATAAACGGGAAACTTGATTGTTCCATCGATGGTGCTTTCTTTTTTTTTTCAAAAGAAAGCATTATCCTTGATTGTTTAACTTAATACTAAACAGAAATTTGAAAAGAATGCTTCAGGAATATGCAATTATTCTCAACAAAGTTACTCACAAAATTGACATTTTTTTGCCTTTACAGTTTTAAAGAGGAGGTTCAAAGAGTGCGTTCTGTTGGAAGCTTACCAAGTAATTGCTTTCCTGAAGTTTACAGTGAGCTAAGTGAAAAAAATGCCGCCACATTCACGAAGTGAATGATGATGAGTGGGCGAAGCTCCGGAGCTAAACCTGGTAAAGCATGAATCCTCCGTACATTTTGCGCACTCGATTTTATTGCAACGCTCCCCCTAGCGTACGTCGCCGCACTATATCGAACGATGACACGCGCCATATGTGGCATCATTCCTATTTTATAACACCTCGCATCTTTCATAATCAACTACACGTACCGCCGTCTAGTTTATAACATCTTGCATCTTTTGGATGGACGGACGGACGGACGGACGGACGGACGGACGGACGGATGGACGGATGGATGGACGGATGGATGGGTGGACGGACGGACGGACGGACGGACGGATGGATGGATGGATGGATGGATGGATGGATGGATGGATGGATGGATGGATGGATGGATGGATGGATGGATGGATGGATGGATGGATGGATGGATGGATGGACGGACGGATGGACGGATGGACGGATGGATATGGCTGTACCCTTTAGATCTGGCGGTGGCTAGCGTAATACTTAATGCCGTCAGCTACAGGTACCGCCCGTTAAAGAACCCCAGGTGGTCTAAATTTCCGGAGCCCTCCACTACGGCGTCTCTCATAATCATATAGTGGTTTTGGGACGTTAAACCCCACATATCAATCAATTACAGGTACCGCCATCTAGTGAACACTGCAAGAACTGAACGAGAGGTGGCTACATACAGGGGACGCACAGCCCACGCCTTAAGGAGCTTCGCTCCTAAAAAGCTTCCAAATTAACACTAAATAAATAAATAAATAAATCATTGTGAGTAATAGGAACAAGAAATCGCTCGCTTTGCCACTGTACTCGCAATCAATCTTCATGTTCTGCCGATTTCGTCCCAGTCATAATTGCAAATATGTGCTTCACAAGTGTTAATATATTGTAGGCATGATACTTATTCGCGAAAAAAAAAATTCTCTTGAGTTTAAATACGTCGCCATCATTTCTTATTTGTCACTGCAGCGCTTGCAATAGCCTTCCTTCAGCGCCGCGTCGGCCTCTCCCGCATCGCCCTCATATCTGCCGCCGCCACCAGCGCAACTGTTCGTTGCGTCTGCATTCGCTCCGAACATGGTTTGGATGAGCGTCATCTTCGGTGGAGCCTATGGTAAGAAGTTCATGTTTCTTATATGTAGTAAAAGCGAAAGCATTTATGTTAAAATACGATACATAATGTGTCGCCATCGCAGTGACGTCGTACAAAATGTTTCTCAGATATTACGTAGACACGGACACACATACTCGCAATGAAAGTGCACATTGCGGATAGTTTTATTTTCAGAGAACAAGTTCTGAAAAACTATGTCTTCACTGCCGCATTGCTTCACCACAAAGCACACTGTGAGACAAAGAAGAAACAGGGAAGTTCATTGCATACTAGTAACGGCACTTTAGGCGAGTACAACCGTCTGGTGTAACAAAATCACTTCAGTGGCACGTTTAAACAAGTCAAAAAAGGCATGATGCAACTTATAGCACTGAAATACCCTCACAGAACACACATCACTGAAGCAATCAAAGATAAAACACAACAAGCACTAAGGTTCGAACGGGATCACATATTTTTCAGCAGCTTTCAGTTGGCTGTAGTCGGGAAGACGTTCCATGGAGCTGCTGTAGTGCTGAACCAAATGCCGTAGAATCAAATCGCAGTCATGGCGAGCGTATCTACCTAGCAGCCAAAAACCTGCGTTGGGGTGTACATAGATTTCGGTGCACAAAAAACATGGTCAAATCTTTTGAACTCATCGAGAATCGGTGTCTTTTCTATTAATAGCGTGTTTTTGAAAACATTAAATTTCGACAGTTATTGCTACTCTAGTCAGGAAGTACGGTGCCTCTTTTATGCGAGTAAAGCAAGACAGTTCGCGTATCGCTACATTTTTTATAATTTTTATTCGCTATATAGGTTTTGAAATCTATATATTGAAACTGACGCCTATATAAGCAGCCCAACATCACGGCTTTCCTCAGTGGGCACGTCGGCTGGCCGCCTGTAACAGCCATGACTGACCCTTTGGTTTTCTTTATGCAGGTTAGTAGCAAGTATTCCAGTGTCAAAACTAGTGATCCTTGCTTTATCCAGCTGACGTGCCCCACCAGCTTATGCACGTGTTACCTGTACGTGCGGAACATAGTACTGTCTGTGTTGAAACTTTGTGGCGATATTGAATCGAACCCAGGTCCGACTACCGAACAAATGTTGAAAAAATTTCTTGAAGGCCAAAAGACTATGCATAAACGAATTGATACTATAGAGTCGAAACTTAAAAAGGTTGAAACAACAGTGTCAACCCTCACGGAACTGAGTTCAAAGCCACCAATCTCGAAAGAACAGTGCAAGGACCAGAAAAAAAGGCTGGCGAATTTAGAAGACAGAAGCAGAAGAAACAATCTTTTGGTTTTTGGCATTCCTGAAAAACCGGGAGAAACACCAGAATCGCTGGAATCAGCAATAGTTGAAGACTTGTTCAAAACTAAGCTTGGTGTAGAGGTAAAACCTGTCGAAAGACTTCACAGAATGGGGCGTAAGTAACCCGACAAACCTAGACCTGGGATCTTAAAGTTCATAGATGACAGGGAAAAGACACGTGCTGAAGAACTGTTCTAAACTGAAAGGAAAGGGCATTTCTGTGTCTGAGGACTTCTCGGCAGCCATGCGGCGGCTGCATTTCCGATGGAGGCGGAAATGTTGTAGGCCCGTGTACTCAGATTTGGGTGCACGTTAAAGAACCCCAGGTGGTCAAAATTTCCGGAGCCCTCCACTACGGCGTCTCTCATAATCAAATAGTGGTTTTGGGACGTTAAACCCCACAAATCAATCAATCTCGGCAGCCACGAGGCAAATTCGAAAGAACTTAAGGGATAGTGCCTCTGATAGCAGGAAAGCGGGAGTAAAGTTGAAACTGTCATATGATAAAATTCGAATTGATAACGAAACGTATGAATGGGACAGTATTCACAAGAAGAGGGTTCCTATTAGTCGACGCAGTAGCAGGCTGCGAGATAAGAAGTGACTTAAAAGCAAGAAAACTAAGCAGTTTCGTTGTGTTAACACAAATGCCCGTAGATTGATTAACATGCAGGGTCATTGAATTAGAAAGTGTAATAATAGCCCACAAACCGCATATGTTAATAATTACAGAATCGTCGCTACACCGAGACATAGGTGATGATGAAATAACGCCACCAGGCTACAAAATGTACCGTAATGACAGAGATTCCCGTGGTGGCGGTGTTGTCATCATGTTTCGAAAATCGCTATATGTGACACGATTACTCAATATTAAGGGAATTGAATGTGTTGTCGTTAAAGTGTTATTTGATGAGCTACATATTGTCGTTTGGAGATTTTACCATCCGCCCATTTGTGGGGATGAGTTTGTAGAACAATTAAATGAGTTTTTGTGTCAGTATAAAACGAGTAGTTGCAACCTATTAATCGGTGGCGACTTTAATTTTCCCATGATAAATTGGTCAAGATGAATTTCCACATGCCATCTCTGCTGCATCTGTATCTTTTCTTGATGTTTTGTTGTTCCATGACTTGACGCAGCTTGTGAAAACGCCCACTCGCATTCAAAACGAATCTAGCACAATTTTAGACCTGTTTCTTGTTAGTATAGGCATACATAACCGCAGTCTGGTAATAGAATTTCACGACGGCATTTCGGACCATAAAATTGTGTCATTAAGCTTTCAACTGTACTATGCTAAAATGCCTGATAAAAAGTCCGTTTTTGTACCCGTATTCTCGCGTGCTAGTGATGTGGACATAATAGATGCTCTTGATCACTCTTATTCCGATTTCCTAACGCTTTCCAAAGAAAGTGAATGTTCTGTTGACCGATTGTGGTGCTTTTGCAAAGACCGAGTAATTAAATGTATTCAAAACTTGGTTCCTCACATACGCAAGGTATTAAACCGGTCTAGCCCCTGGATTACGAAAGAAATTGTACGCCTAGGGCGCAAGCTAAAGAAGGCAAGAAAGCGACAAATAGAACGACCATCATTGCCTGGTCTAGATAATATATCAGAATGCGTCACACACTGAAAGTCAATTTGAAAAGTGCAAAGGAAACATATCAAAGCGAGGCTTTGCAAACTTTATCTTGACGTCACCAAATAAGTTTTGGCAATATCTTCCACCGAAAAAAAGTCCAGTATCAAGCTTATCTATTAACAGTAATGTTATAACCGACAAGAGGGAAATAGCAGGCGCGATGAATGATTACTTCTGTTCGGTGTACGCGCGTGATGATGACGTTACCCCTGATTTCATCGCCTATAATACCATGCCACCTATCGATGACGTCTGTATCACTAAAGGGGGTGTCTTATTGCTTCTGCTTAATCTCGATCCAAAAAAGTCACCGGGCATTGACTCAGTACTTAACGCCTTTCTGATAAGGTATGCTGAATGGAATACCAAATACCTATGCTTGATCTTTAAATCATCTCTTCTGTGCGCTGAACTTCCGAGTGATTGAAAGCACGCTAAGATCACTCCAGTACCAAAAACTGATGACCATTCGCTTGTGTCCTCGTTTAGGCCTATCTCCTTGCTATGCACTTGTCTCAAAATTCTAGAGCATATAATATGCAAACATTTCTCTATGTTTGTCGAAAGAAATAACCTTATCACGCCCCTTCAGCACGGCTTTCGCGAAGGGTATTCTACGGTAACCCAGCTTATTGATACTTTTCATGACCTAGCAGCAGCGATCGATATGAATGGTCAAGTAGATGTTATAAAATTGGATTTTGAGAAAGCTTTCGATCGTGTGAGTCACCATAAATTACTAATTAAGCTCAAACGAATTCTGAAATTGAGAAATTACTTGCATGAATAACTGCTTATCTATCATTGACAAGCGAATGTGTTGCCATTGATGGTGTCACCTTGAGTTCCGCCCTCGTGAAATCGAGTGTGCCTCAAGGGTCGATTTCAGGGCCGCTGTTTTTTCTGTTATTTATTAATGATATTGTGCTAAACTTGCCCATAAAAATAAAGCTTTTCGTGGACGATTGTATATTATACCAGGAAATTTATAGTTGCAGTGATCAAGAATCTTTAAATACTGCACTATCAACACTACAAACGTGGTGTGAAAATTGGCAGATGACAAGAAATTATAAAAAACAGTAGCAATGCTAGTTACGCGTAAGAAACAGCCGCTTCTATTTACCTATAACGTCAATGGTCATGCGTTATCCGAAGTCACTAAGCACAAATATTTAGGACTCATACTCACATCAGACTTAAAATGGAATGAACACATAGAGTATCTTGAAAGAAAGGCAATGAAAAAGCTTGGCTATATGCGAAGGAGGCTTGTGAATGCCACATCACACATCAAACTTCTCGCGTACAAAACTTTCATTAGACCAGTATTAGAATATGGAGCTGCAGTGTGGGATCCCTTTACTGAGTCCAATATTAAAAAATTGAAATGGTCCAAAGAAAATCTGTCTGATTTGTTTTTAATTGTTATAGTTGGCGACTTCCCCTTCACTTCTTCTAATCAAAGCGGATCTCGAAAAACTACAGGACAGAAGAAGAATGGAGAGGCTGAAGCATTTTTACCTCATTTTCCACAACAAAATTGGTATCAACAAAAGAGTGCACATTAGACAAATAAGTAAATATGCTGTGCGCTCACATCATTCAAAGAAAGTTTTAGATTACGTGAACCGCACAGACACATTCAGGTATTAATTTTTTCCAAGAGCTACCCATGAATGGAATTGCCTATCACCCGGTGGTATAAAGTGTCCAACAGTTGATTTATTTCTACATGCTCTCAATAACCACTAACAGTTTTTTGTATAGTCGTGCAGCCCAGAGTTACACAATGCTTCCATTTTTTAGTACGTTTCAGTCAGCAAAGCTATGCCATTGTAGTAATGTTTTTCTTTGGTTTGTTTTGTAAATTAGTACAAAAGTGTTGAATTGTAACCACTTCCAGTATGCTCTGTGATGTCAATTAGGTTTTTTGCAGTAAACATTTCTGTATGCCCATTCCTGCTTAAGACCTGGTAAACAGGTCAGCAGTATGTAATAAATAAATAAGTAAATAAATAAATAAATAAATAATGAATACTTTTTGCAATGTTACATCTATGAATGTGAATATATTCCAATTGCTGTGAAATAGAATGAAAATAATGGTAACTTTCCTCTAACGCTGCCAAACGCGAACAATATGCGGAGCTGGGTGACATTCTTTGTTTTTCTTCGGCTCGGATTGTTTTTTCTTGTTCTCTTTTTAAGTTTTTCTCAGCTTTTGGTGTATTTTGTCTTTCTATTTTTATTTACCTCTATTTATTTTTCACGTTTTTTTTTAATTTATTTGTGGGGTTTAACGTTCCGAAACCACTATTTGATTATGAGAGACGCCGTAGTGGAAGGCTCCAGAAATGTTGACCACCTGGGGTTCCTTAACGTGCACCCAAATCTGAGGACGCGGGCCTACAACATTTCCGCCTCCATCGGAAATGCAGCTGCCACAGCCGGGATTTGATCCCACGACACGTTTTTCTTTATATTGCTCTATTCATCGTTCACTTCCTTTTCTAAACTTTATACACGACTTGTGTAGTGTTTACCTAGCCATAGTATGACTCTGTAAACACTGCACATAATAGAACTTCGCATATTAGACCTTTATTAGTAGGGCCGATCACCTTATGTCATCATCAAAGCACACGGAGAACAAGAGGAAAACAACATTTTTTTTTTGGCGCGAGCGTGCGGTCAGTAAGCTACATTTGGGTTCGTTATATGTGGCAGTGTCCGCGTTGCGGCAAGCTACGACGACAGTATACGAAAGCCTAGCCTCCTAAAGCACTCCACGTTACAAGAAATCATTTTCCATCAGAAAGCCGTAACGAGAGCAAATAGTGTAGCCACATGGTTGCCCCGTTTTTTTTTTTCAGCTCTTTAGAGTGTAATCAACTTCAATCGAATGCATTGCCCGGAGCGTTTAGTAAGGAATGACCCACTTGGTAATGGTCTCTATGGGTTGGTCTCTGGCGAGAGGCGGTGCGTGTATTTACGCATAACTAACAATTGGGTACCTCAAGCATTTAACAATAACATGCACACAGCGTGAATGCCGAAGAGATCAGTAACACGTCGGTAACACGGTCGTGGGAGGGCTAAAAATTTTCAGGCTGGTATAGAGATCACTTATCTTACACAGGGAGTTTTCCACATAAGAGAAAATAGTTCGATGCTGCGCATCCAACCGCGATGAATTCTCCCACGAAGAGTTCTTTCAAGTGATGAAGCCAATCGCAGGTTCCTGTTTTTTTTTTTTTTGCTTTTTCGAAACCTGTGAAGCACCGAATTCTTTCTTATATTATTCATAATTGCGGGTGCAAGGGCAGAAAATTAGTAGTACAGAAAGCAGTTGTATAGTGACAACCGTCGATAGTAGAAAGTCTAAATACATTGTATAAATTCATCAACAATGAAATCAAGGAATACAATCAAGCTGCCACCTATCTGCAGATAAGTCATAGTGCAATGAAAACCATGGCAGTCATAAGTCATCTTTCGTGATCAGGAAAGACAGTACTCTGCGTCGATCAGGCGCACGGCTGCGCTTGTCAATAAAATTACTTCTTAAACTTATCATTTATTGGTTAACAATTTAGCTGGAGTGGGAAGCTAAATCGCACACTGTTTTGAGCCACTATCGATATAGCAAGCTTCAACCAATAGGCACGTTATTTCGTTGTACGTTTTCTTCAAACATAGTGGGGGATGTTCTACGTTAGCAGCTTTCACGTTAATGTGAGTCTATGGCACTAGACAATAGAATCGTCTTGCTATTTTCAGCAGTGTGTACCCCTTTCACACCCGTTACTTTCTTTTGTTAGAATAACAACTTGGATATCCGGTTGCTCTAGCAAAAAAAATCTACAAATACAGTTGTTGTTTTTTTATCAGTTGTGAGATAAACTGTAGCTATGTCTCGGGTTCTACTTCCAAAAGCCATGACTTCGTTATGAGAGACGCCGTAACGGAGTACTACAGAAATTTCGACCTTTTAGTGTTCTCTAACGTACGCTGACATCACACAGAACACTGGCCTTCAGCGTTTCACCTCCATCGCATTTCTTGATAAGCTAAGAGACGCAGAACACATTGACATAAAGAAAGCTGACAGAGACATTCGCCGTTCACTGAACTAGATATTAATATCTTGTTCTCAGGTTTTACAGTGAAGGTGTTCTTGGCGTCCGCTTCAATCTACACGATGCTGTTCTTCGACAAGTACCGGGCCACCGCACAGTCCTTCATCAGCTGCGCTCAGGGAGCAGCTGGCATGGCGGGACAAACCCTGCTTTCGCGGCTGCAGAAGGCTTACGGCCTCAACGGAGCATTGGTGATACTAGGGGGATACTCATGAATGCTAGTTCCACTGTCTATGCTGCTCAAGCAAGCTCACCGGATAAGGTTTACGTCCTTCCTGAGAAAGAAGGCGTCAGAGTTTGTCGCCAATGTTGTTGCTACCTCTGAGATAACTTGCTCGAAGAAAGGTGCGTTACTACGGTCCGTGCATCAGGTCAATTCCTGTAAAATACAAGGCAGCCCGCAAGGCAAGCTTGAGTTCGCGTTCGTTAGAAGAATGAGTAGAAAAATATGTTCCCTTGAACTGCCTTGTCCAGATGCAAAAGAATCTCTTCCCACCCCAATAAAAGAAGAGCCTGCCGTGGAAAAATTGCAGAGCAATTCCTCGAGCGTAGTGACCAAGAATATGCTCATTTCACAAGGAGAGCATAAAATTTCAATACCGTGTCAGCTAGAACAGAACACTCCCAAAATGAGACGATAACGCCGTACCAAAGCCGCTCTCTACAGCTCGTACTGTCGTTGCTAAAGGAACACGTCTTTTATGTTTTGGTCCTCGCGATTGTGGTTGGCGATTACACTGAAATTGTGTTCCTTGCCACAGTTGTGGAACATGGTCAGGACCAAAACTTAAGCATGCAGGCATGCGAACAGCTAGTCACACTGTGGTTTTTAGGGCAATTCCTGGGGAGCGGTTTACTACCGGTGATAGCCGATAACCTGAGGTACAGCCGTTCATCTTTCTATGTAGTCACTTTCGCTATTTCCTCCGTCTCTTTGGTGGTGCTGCCTCACGTGACGGATATTGGTGGCCTTGCCCTTCTTCTTGCCGTACACGGCATGGCAATGGGCTTCATCAGGTGCGTGAAGTGCGTTGTCATAGCCGATCAAGTCGGCACTGACCGCACCGCAGCCTGTTGGGGCATCAGTGGGCTGGCGATAATGCCTTTATCACTGGCCAGCCCAGAGATCATTGGTAAGTGACAAGGTGACCACACCTTTTTTTCCATAAACATAGAAAAGCAATTACGACAGACTAAGGTGTTTTACTTTTCGCCTTTAAGCACATAAGTACCGTTTTGTGGTCGTTTGGAACAGAGGTAAGACATGACGTTCTTGTGTTCGATAAAGTTATTCACTGCTGAGGGACGCAAGAAACTACTTCCCGCGCGTAGTCAAGCAATTGGGTTATCATTGCTCTGAATAAACTAAAAGGCGTAAAGTCACAGGGTCACAATTTCGGCCACGGAAAAGGAGACCAGCTGCTTTGCGTTTACTGAAAACAAACCAGCTTAGTGTTTAGTAGCATGAGCGCCAACTCAAATTTCTGTCCCCTTTTTCGTTCTTTAATTTTGAATTCGCATCTCTCTTCATGAGTTGTGTACCAAACCGAACAGAAACTCGATCGAATTGCCTTTTTTTTTTTACTTGAAGTGCGTATCACAATAGGGTTTTGGTTTGTCGCCAACCGTAACTTGTCGCATAGTTACACAGTGGTCAATAAAGTCAATGTCCCAAAAATGCCTCGCAATGCTCCTGACCAGTACAAACAAAATTAGTAAGATGCCTAAAAGTATTCGCAATAACTTACCGACAATTGCAAGAAGAGCTTTTGAAGCATACAGCGGATACCTGTGTCGCACCAGGAAGGGCGCAGCGGCCTCACTTAGAATGCGATCGCTCATTAAAGGCATTACTGCTGTGATCTCCGAACCATGCAGTTTTTGGGGTCTCATTGTAATAAAACTGGCTTTTGCGCCGAACTTAAAACTACAGTAAAACCTATACACTGAGGGCATAAGCGCAGAATTAAGCTGGAGATTTCAAACTACACCAGTACCCACACTAGAATGACTTTAGAGCAGGATTTAGGCTTTTAATGTTTGTCAGATATTCAAGCTGAGAAAAACCACTCACAGCCCTTGATTCAATGCAGCGGACAGAATAAAGCACTGCCCAAAGGGCTCACTCGTGACTTCAGTGCATAATAGCTTGATCAGAGTTTCTACAGCTAACAATGTATACGGAAGGAACAGCAGCTTGACTGCACGCAGTGCTTCAGTTGCTATCGTTATTGTTTGAGCTTGCTGTCTGCTTCGCGTGTTACTGTTCCGAGCACTTCTTAAAAAAGACGGCTCTGCGTCATCTGCAATTTGCAATCAGGGAACTGCCATTGCTTACGCTGGCGGACCTGTTGTTTGCAAGCTGATTTCCAAAAAAAAAAAAAACTGTGCTTCCTTTTTATAGGCCTGGAGGTTTTTACGCGCCTATTTCCAAGAGGTCTTGGAAATGGGCGCGTAATCAATCAACCACCATAAGTTTCCGTTCAGCCGAGTACTGAGTGGAAGCGCGTTTGTAGCCTCTCTACCTATGCGTGTATTGGCCTGCACAAATGTAATACCCTTCGATCAAAGCTGCAGTAGCAGGAAAAGCTCTGATATAGCTGATGACCCACATGAAACTAAGCGTCTGGTCGGCGTGCATCTCTACTGAAAAAACAGGAAACCACTTGGTTAGGTTGCCGTGGCATTTAGAATAGAATCCTATACCACAGTAGTGGAAGTGGTTGTTCTAGGAATTCTAGAGCGCTGCGGGCTGTGGCAAATTGTCACCGTGGAGCTGCCACTGTAAAGAATCAGGGCATCTTTGTCCTTAATATTTGTATGACGTATGGTACCCTGCCCAACAGAATCACCCACGTCTTTACCTCAATCACTTTACCTTTCTTTCATGTCTGTTTTCATTGCACAGCCCATGAACTCCAAAACTGATGTCTCTTTACACAGATAATATTTTAAACTCTGGATCTCCTTGTGCTTCTTGCCGCTGTTAGCAGCACAAACTGTACCTGTTTGAAGCAGTATTGTTCCATAAAGCGGCCCCTCTTCTCAGAGTTTTCCTAACAAACTGCTATTATTTTTTTGCCTGCGTCGTTATATTTAGGGTTTGAAGATATTAAGCTAAACTCCACGTAGGTGTTCGCTTTGTGATGCGAAATAAAATGAAAGATGAAACAAGGAAGAAGGTCATTGTGTCTGTTCCCTCGTTACTGCCGAGAAAAAATCCGGAAAAGTGACTTTTTCAACGATAGGCTTCATCGTTGCAAACATGGCCTGTGTAAACCTCTGTCGTGCTTTATTTTAACAGGGGTGGGAAATCATTTCATAATCATGCCATCGTTTTCAACTATCAAAACGCTTGCTAGTAAAGCTAGAATATTTAGCGCGAAGCTTTTGTGAAATACCGCTACGTTCTCCTTGCAATTTCGGTAACGAAATGCTTATTAGAATTTTCTCCTTTACGCAAAAGATCCTCCATGTGCATACAAATAAGCTATTATTTGCTTCTCACTTGTGTCTATAAGACGTGATTATGCTTTATAAAGAACAAACTGAAATTATAATACGAAAAAATTTTATTCGTTATTATGTTCCAATGTTCACAAAAATAGTTCCATTTCGTCGCATCCCAAATGACGGAGGCTTCTCGAGTCGTCACTGCTTTCACCTAACAGCATTTGCATTTGAAAAAGTTAAGAGTGTGCACACAAAGCTTACTCAGCCACAAGAAAACACTAGCACTCAATATTCTTGCATGGTTGTAAAAACGGAAGTGTCGAATAATGTGCTCCGCGTCTGTTTAGGTTAACAGCCCCAATCAGGCAACCTGTTTATGATCAGGGATTTCATAAAACGCAGCTGATTAGTGTGCAATATTGCATTGAGGACCATGAGTATTTAGCGCAGGGTTGGCACACAGCACGTGCAACTCCATAGTCAAAAATTACTCCGCAGCTTGACTAATTAAAATAATTAGTTTTCTTAAATTACCAATACCATGATGTTTGAGACCATTAGTCGATGAACTATCACCTTCTCTTCCTTACTAATAGTTTTTTGGCGTTGCAGGTATCTTCCGGGATTCGGGAGGGTCATACGACAACTTCTATAGACTGCTGGGTGGAATCAACTTCCTTGTCACTCTTCAGTTTGCTCTGTTCCTGGCCTGCCGCAAGGCACGCAAGACTGCCATAGCGCTCAACGACAGTTAGAACCACTTCAAAGCTGGCGCCCTTTCACACAATAGACAGAGCAGTTCATATATGCCTCATGCCATCATCTTGTAGTACATACCACGTGTTTTGTCACATTTTTCGGGGATATCATTTTAATGGCAATCAAACGCTCTGATAAACTCAGGTAATGTGAATGCTAGTGCTAGTCGTGTAAATGTGTGCACGAACGACAATTGGCTCTCTTATTTCCAAGAAATGATGAAGAAAGATCAAGAATTTGTGCTTGTGCTTTTCTTAGAGGTTGTGTGAGCTAGAATTTTAGGTTAGGTTGGTTTCACTCGATTGAGAAATGCTTCGTAACATACCTGTATGAACGCGACTTAACACTTCGAACCCCGAAAAAACTCGTTTTAACGCATAAAAGAGAAAGAAAGTCCTCTGTTGCAAGGACCGTGCTCAAATTCGGCTCCATAAGGTATTGCATCAGGCGCCTGTATAAAATGCGTATGCAAGACATACAGGCATCATGTGGAGCGCCTGAATAAAAAGAGGGCACTTACCTGCACGTCCCTTGAAAAAACCTATTACCTAGATTGACTAGAACTGCAGGGAATGTGATTGCACTATTGCGGAATGTGATTGCACTATCACAGTGATTGCACTGTGACTGAATACTGAAAAAGTTACATTGCCAATACATCCCCTGATGTCACTTCTCAAAAATAAATCTTAATGCACTTAAGTGGAGAACATTGAAGTTGAGAAAGAACTAATTCCTTGCATATGTGTGATTTTTACGATAAACACAAAGACGTAACTTAAAGGCAATTTTCTGACATTGTGTTGAATATTTGCACATACCCGCTACGATAAACCACACATTGACAAGCTTACAGATGATCGGATGCTCAAGACATGCGAAGCCCAAGACTGGCTCTTTCTAGCGTGGTCAATGGCGTGACCCGTTATATGTTAACGGAAACATTGACTGAATGAAGTCATATAACTCAATCAAACGAGAAACATTGGACGCTAAATTATCATTACGCAGTCATTAGTCACTGACACTAGCGGCAGAGCACTAGCATTTGCGCACCAGTAAATAGGCCCCGAGTAAGAGGCTAGTGAGTCCATGTCTGTTTCAAATGAAAATATTAGTATTCAGTGGGTGCCCCGAACAGTGACGCCAAGTCAATCACTCACCAAGATTTGGAGCATCCTGTGGGGCTTTGATTGCCAGATGTTAATGCCCTGTGAAGATCAACATTGCTGTGATAC